AGGGATGACCGCAGCCTGGAGAGGATTGTCAGGAAAAGGCCATTCAAAAGTGTTGGGAACCTTCACAAGGAGTGGAATGAGGCTGGAGTCAGTGCATCAAGAGCCACCACACACAGACGGATCCTGGACATGGGCTTCAAATGTCGTATTCCTCTTGTCAAGCCGCTCCTGAACAACAAAAAAAAAATGTCAGAAGCGTCTTACCTGGGCTAAAGAAAAACAGACCTGCTCTGTTGTTCAGTGGTCCAAAATCCTCTTTTTCTGATGAGAGCAACTTTTGCATCTCATTTGGAAACCAAGGACCCAGAGTATGGAGGAAGATTGGAGAGGTACACACTGCAAGATGCTTGAAGTCCAGTGTGAAGTTTCCACAGTCTGTGTTGATTTGGGGAGCCATGTCATCTGCTGGTGTTGGTCCACTGTGCTTCATTAAGTCCAGGGTCAACGCAGCCGTCTACCAGGAGATTTTGGAGCACATCATGCTTCCTTCCACAGACGAGTTTTTATGGTGATGCTGACTTCATTTTCCAGCAGGACTTGGCACCTGCCCACACTGCCAAAAGCACCAAAACCTGGTTCAATGACCATGGGATTACTGTGCTTGATTGGCCAGCAAACTCGTCTGACCTGAACCCCATATAGAATCTATGGGGCATTGCCAAGAGAAAGATGAGAGACATGAGACCGAACAATGCAGAAGAGCTGAAGGCCTCTATTGAAGCATCCTGGTCTTCCATAACACCTCAGCAGTACCACAGGCTGATAGCTTCCATGCCACGCCGCATTGAGGCAGTAATTGCTGCAAAAGGGGCCCAAACCAAGTACTGAGTACATATGCATGCTTATACTTTTCAGAGGTCCGATATTGTTCTATGTACAATCCTTGTTTTATTGATTGCATGTAATATTCTTATTTTCTGAGATTGTGGGTTTGGGGTTTTCATGAGCTGTAAGCCATAATCATCACAATTATGACAAATCACAGCTTGAACTATCTTGCTTGCATGTAATGAGTCTATCTCATATATTAGTTTCACCTTTTAAGTAGCATTACTAAAATAAATGAACTTTTGCACGATATTCTAATTTTTCGAGTTTCACCTGTAAATTGCAGTAAATAGGACTCACTTGGGTGGTGATGGCCAGTCACCGTTCAATGAGCAGGCTGGAGGAGGAGCTGCAGTGAATAGTGACTGAATAGTGTTGCCACCCTCTGGCTCTACATAGTGGAAGGGGCACATGAATTAAAGTGTGCATGAACACAATCAGCAATATCATGGCAGGTAAAACCATTTACAGTTATGTATTTCAGATGTGCATTTCGCTTTTTTGCCAGGTGTTCCGTTTCGCTAGCCCAGCTGTTCATATTGTTTCTTTTATTACCTTCTTTGTTTGAAATGATCAGGATGGTCCTATTGTATTTCTGACAGTATTTTACACTCTTCACTAAACCTGATACCCGTTTTATAAACAAATGGTGAGAGATGATTAGCACAGTCGAGGGCCCAGTGCCTGCATTATAACCATTTACATACACAGAGAGTCGGGAAATGTAAATAATGGGGATCTTTGGCTTAGTGTAAGCTAAGAATAGAATTCTTTCTCTGACAGCAAGCAAAATAAGAGTGCCATGTGAACTGAAATTTAAATTGACCTGGTGCCTTGTGCATACTAATATTCATATTTATTTTAATACGTAATGTGTATGAAAACTCCAGCAATACATTTCTTTTATTTAGTCACTTTTGGTCCGTTAAATATACAATTGAAAGTGTTTTATAATATTTGTACAAAAAAAAAAAAAAAAAAACTGTTCGTCCAGAAATCTTGTGAGCTGATATGTTCCTGTATTCTCTTCCTCTGGACTGTTATCTGTTGACATTACTTCCTGCTATCTTTATAGACTACAAAACACCTCCCCTGTTATGGAGAAGACAGGGAGGTGTTATGTAGTCCTAACACACACCCTGTCCTAGGGTGACAACACTGCTTAGTAGAGTTGTTCACCCTAGGACAGGAAATGCGTTAAAGGCAGGGTTACCAGGTTAAAATAAAAAAGCGTAAAAAAAGAAAACAAATGCAGCCACCACATGTAGGGACTGGTAAGCTGCAATACAATGTTTTTGTTCTTGGGTTTCTTTGGCTTTTAAAGTGACTCTGTTGCTTTCCTACCTACCCTAGCTTCTTCTTCTTAATGTTCAGTGGGGAGGGAAGGATAGGCAATTATGTGACCACTGTGACTGGTTGTCACAGTGGTCACATGATCGGAAGCCGGTCCTGCCAGCTCCTGATGTCTTCTCAGGACTGAAAGCAGTTTTTGGCAGCTCGATCACTGAGCTGGGAGCACATAGGGAGCATGCTCCCAGCACATAAACATTGCCCACCCCAGTGACACATATGTGCGGCGTGGGAGCCTTAAAGCCCAGCTTTTTAAAGCCACACATATGGGTTACTGGGGTGTAAAGAGGTTAAAAGAAAAAAGTCCAGCAAAAGAACACTGTTCATAGATACCTGTCCCACCAGCCATTCCTGGAATCTTAAGTTTTTTGTAGAGTTAGCCTGCCTACAGAATCCTCAGATTCAATGTACTTCCAGGTGTATCAAACTTCTGTACCACTACCATGCTGCGCTACCATCTGCTGGCTCCTATGTCACTGTATTCCTTAGTAGAGAGCATTAGGAACAACGATGTATGGTGGCGGACACAATTTGTGAAGATGCTTTGAACAGCTTTGCATTGCAAGATTCCAGAGGAAAAATAAGACTAGGTAGTGTTCTTTGTAGGATTTTTTTTTTTTTTGATAAAGGTGACCGGTTGCTTTATCCTATCACCTCCTCCCTTGCAGGACATACCTTTACCCCGTTCAGCTTCTGGGTGCAGTACTTCTGAGTATGCAGAAGCATATGACTTACAACATGTGACAGTGCTGGCGCCTGGTGATTGGCCTAGTGCTCCGTGTTTCACTTCCAAGACCAGTCAAACTATGTGCTCACCTTTACTTTAGACCTGCTGGCCATAGGTCTATATGTGCCTCCCCCTCTGGGAATTATATCCAGAGACATACAGCTTCTCCAAAATCACCAACACTCCCCCCTCATGTAGAAAAACTTGCTATAGGGTAAGTCTTCAGCATTGAAAAGTCTGCTCAAAGAGGATTAAAAAGCCATTATAGTGCTTAACTATAATAAATCCTTAATTTTATTAAAAAAACTATAAACTGCACTCACATTATTCAGTGGACCAACGTCTGTGCACATAGATATCGAGCGTCCATAAGACAGGGGTGCGTTGCCCCCTTAAGATAATCCAAATATAAGCATCACACTGTATCAAGGTGTCTTGTCCAGTGTAATGATGTCACAGCGAGCGTGGGGGCCATTCAATGGTATCAATTCCTTCATCCTCCAGGAACTGCCTGCATACTCTCGCCACATGAGGCCAGGCATTGTCGTGCACCAGGAGGAACCCAGGACCCACTGAACCAGTGTAGGATCTGACAATGGGTCCAAGGATTTCATCCCGATACCTAATGGCAGTCAGGGTGCCATTGTCTAGCCTGTAGAGGTCTGTGCGTCCCTCCACGGATATTCCTGGACCATCCCAGAGCATCACTGACCCACCACCAAAACGGTCATGCTGAACGATGTTAGAGGCAGCATAATGTTCTCCATGGCTTCTCCAGACCCTTTCATGTCTGCCACATGTGCTCAGGATGAACCTGCTCTCATCTGTGAAAAGCACAGGGTGCCAGTGGCAGACCTGCCAATTCTGGTGTTCAATGGCAAATGCCAATTGAGCTTTATGGTGCCGGGCAGTAAGAATAGGGTTCACTAGAGGATGTCGGGACCTCAGGCCACCCTCATGAAGTCTGTTTCTGATTGTTTGGTCAGAGATATTCACACCAGTGACCTGCTGAAGGTCATTTTGTAGGGCTCTGGCAGTGCTCATCCTGTTCCTCCTTGCACAAAGGAGCAGATACCGGTCCTGCTGATGGGTTCAGGACCTTCTACAGCCCTGTCCAGCTCTCCTAGAGTAACTGCCTGTCTCCTGGAATCTCTTCCGTGCTCTTGAGACTGTGCTGGGAGACACAGTAAACCTTCTGGCAATGGCACGTATTGATGTGCTATCCTAGGGGAGTTGGACTGCCAGTGCAACTTCTGTAGGGTCCAGGTACCGCCTCATGCTACCAGTAGTGACACTGACCCTAGCCAAATGCAAAACTAGTGAAAAACAGTCAGAAAAGATGAGTAGACAAAAAAATGTCAGTGGCCTCTACCTGTAAAACCATTCCTGTTTTGGGGGTCATCTCATTGTTGCCCATCTAGTGCACCTGTTGTTAATTTCATTAAAACCAAAGCAGCTGAAACTGATTAGCAACCCCCTCTGCTACTTAACTGACCAGATCAATATCCCAGGAGTTTAATTGACTTGATGCTATACTCTGAGTAAAAAGTATTCCTTTAATTTGTTTTGAGCAGTGTATATACGTATATATAGACAGTCTACAAGAGGATGAATAGAACTCGCCCTGCGCCTTCTCCATATTCCCCGAAGGAAATAAAAAAACCATTAAAATAATTATGAATGAGGGAAGGACAATAAAAAATAAAAATTCTGGTTATAATTATTTACAAAAATAAACTCTCAATACCTATAAATGCTGATGCATTTTGAGGGGGATCCTCTCTTCATGAGAACTTTGGCATATAGTAACATAAGGTGAAGTTAAAGTGTTACTAAACCGAGGACCCCGCATTTGCTATATCTGGTCTCCCACAGTACACAGAACATGGAAATGCAATTATTTTAGTAAATATAAACTGCTAAATATCTTTTCTCATCAGCAGTATATAGCAGTCTTCTGACTTCTATCAGTGTTAGGCCATGCACTTGTTAAAGCTTGTAGGAGGAGTTTTAATTGTCCCCTGTTTGTCCTATAAGGGCTGCATAACCCCTGACCTTCTGTCTGGACAGTGCTGATTTGCCCTGTGCTGATCACATGCACCCTCGCAAAGAAAAAAAAAATTATCTAGCCACACACACTAAACTGAGCATGTGCAGCATGACTCCACACAATATGTCTTATCAGCAGATAAGAGGGGGGCACTGGAAGAAGGGGAGGATCAGAGAAGACAGGATTAAACAGTCTTTTTACCCAATGCGGAGGACTAACCCCTTAGGTTCCACAGTGAGTATAACATGCATGCATTACTGCATATACAGTCTGCTTTTACTGTTGTGGGTTTAGTTAACATTTACAGTGTCACTAAATTACATTCTCCAAAAATAATCCATATACATCCACAACTTATTGGCCCTGTAATCTATTTTCATTAAGTCATTTTCTACTCATAGTCAGCCTCCAACAGAAAGTCGAATCACAGCAGCAACAGTAAAAAAAATACCTTTTCTCATCAGCAGTATATAGCAGTCTTCTGACTTCTATCAGTGTTTGGCCGAGCACTGGTTAAAGCTTGTAGGAGGAGTTTTAATTGTCCCCTGATTGTCCTATAAGGCTGCATAACCCCTGACCTTCTGTCTGGACAGTGCCGATTGGCCCTGTGCTGATCACATGCACCCTCCCAAAGAAAAAAAACCTTTCTAGCCACACAAACTAAACTGAGCACATGCAGCATGACTCCACACAATATGTCTTAGCAGGAGATAAGAGGGGGGCACTGGAGGATCAGAGAAGACGGGATTAAACAGTCTTTTGATACAATGTGGAGGATTAACCCCTGAGGTTCCACAGTGAGTATAACATGCGTGCATTACTGCATATACAAACTGCTTCTACGGTTGTGGGTTTAGTTAACATTTAGTTAACATTTACATTGTCACTAAATTACATTCTTCAAAAATAATCCATAGACATCAACAATTTATTGGCCCTGTAATCTATTTTCATTAAGTAATTTTCTAGCAGCAGCAGCAAAAAAAAAAAATAATTTTGATATTTGGTGGACGCTGAGAGAAATAGAAGGTATGAGTTAAGAATACATACATAAAATTTTACTTTAAACCAGTTTATTGTCACTGTAATATGCAGATTGTAGGCTGGAAGGGGTTAATAAATAAAAAAATATATATACAGAAAAGAACTATATATTCACTTTAAATCCCCTGTAATCACCTCTGAAAACATTTGTAGAAGATAACAGAAAAAAAAAGTATTGAATGCTGAAAAGAATGATTTGATGGTGTAGTTTGGACTGTACACTTTTAAAAAGAAGGACAATTTTGGGGCAGCGGGGTGACTGCATTACTTGTGTAAATGTGGAGCAGCAAGTCTTTGTAGGTAGATAAAGCCGCCCTTACACACAGCTGTCTTCTACGAGTAATGTGCTTCAAAATTACATTAGAAAACTATAATTGTGCGCAAGACTCCTGCAGAGGCAACATAAAAGAATTTGTTTCAAGCACAGCAAGGGCGATCGCAGGCTACAAACACAGTTTTACTTTGATGCGCTCTCCACGTAAGGATAATTCTAATTCTAAGTCAAGCTTTGAAATGACTTTGTATTACGTGACAAAATGATGAAGAATCTAAATTCGACTGCAGTGTCTCCAGGATCGCGTAATCAAGCTGTGAAAGAATTATGCTGCGGGCTTTCCTCGGGCTACAAGGCAACAGATAGATAACGCTTATCAGCCAGCTCATCTGTGTCATTGTCACATTAATATCGTATGACAGGGTGAATTGTTAAAAGGGATAAAATAAGCTACAAGGCTAAAAATGTTATGCTACATAATCCCAGGGAATTTAGAGCTTGATAAGGAAGATCTTAAGAGATGTGCAGTTTTCACCCTGCCTCTAATTTGTGGGATTGCGCAGCAGGTTTGGAGAAATTAAGGGGCCTGCTTATTAATATCTCAAATCAAAAAAAAAGGTTACCTTTATAAACCCATCATAGAATTCTGTAACAATTCATCTGAAACTGTAGTGTATTTTTATGGTTCTTAAAAAATGGAAAGGTTCAGTCAATCCATAAGTGGTTTTTTAATTATAGTTGGGGCTGTTGTGCTGAATTAGCCACTGGCTTCCTAAATGTATTGGATCCTCTAACATAGCGGTCCCCAAACTGCGACCTGTGAGCTGAATGTTGCTTTTTTTGCCTTTATCTGGCCCTTGATATGAGGCATTATTCCTCCTCCTGACACCACTGATGGAGCTCTATTCTTCCCACTGACACCAGTGAAGGGGTACTGTTCCTCCTACTGACACAAGAGTTGGTGCACTATTCTTCCCACTGACACCAACAATGGGTCACTATTTCTCCCATTGATACCTATGAAGGAGTACTATTCCTCCCACTGACACCAGTGAAAGGGCACTGTTCCTCCCACTGACACCAATGACAGTGCACTATTCCTCCCACTGACACCAACAATGGAGAACTATTTCTCCATTGATACCTATGATGGGACACTATTCCTCCCACTGACACCAATGATGGGGTACTATTCATCCCACTGACACCAAAAATGGGGCAGTATTGCTCCCGTTAATACCAATGATGGGGAACTATTCTCTATTCCTTCCACTGACAACAGCAATAGGGCAATATTCCTCCCACTAATACCAACGATGAGGTGTTATTTCTCCTTCTAGTGATCACAGGTGCTTTATTTTTTTTTTTCACCTCCATTGACCACCAAGTCTGAGCCATTGTTTACCCCCAATTGCACTGGGTCATTTTTTAACCCCATTTTCCACAGCCTGTCCACCCCCCCCCCCCCAAGTCTGAAGGATAGTAAACTGACTCTTTGTTTACAAAGTTTGGAGACCCCTGCTGTAATACTAAAGCCAACCATAGACAGAGTGATTGCCCTACTAACACAGTCAGTGTTGATGGGGGAATCCCTCCCATGGAGCTATTGTGTTGCTCCGGCAGAGAGGCAGGATGAGCTGTCACCGCTGGGAGAACACAGTGATTACTGTTGGAGGCTATAATAACCACTAGCAATAATCGCATGTAAAGTATGGCAGGCTGGTTGTACCCAAGATGATCAATTGATCAACTTGGGTACATTCAGCCTGCCCACTCATGGTTCAAATCTCGGCCGGTCCCTGCTGAACTCGTTGAGATCCGAACCATCTATGGCCAGCTTTAGATCTCCCTATCAAATTTCCTGACTCCTTTGCTATCTGTCTAAGAGTTTTGAGGTCCCCACCTATCTTGTGTGTCCCAATTCTTTCTATTAAATACTCCATAATACAAAAAAAAAATGTTTATATATATATATATATATATATATATATATATATATATATATATAAATCCTATATACAAATACAAAAAAAATCCTAAAGGGAGAGTAGAGTAGACGTGTTTCAAAATGTCCACAGCAGGTATGTACACCTCAAAAACTCAGTGGGAATCTCACCAGTATAGTCCCAGAGACATATAATGAAAAAGTTCCACTTCTCTTTCCAATGCTAATACAGTCTGTCCTGACTGGAGTTCTACTTATTGACTACAAATACTCTTGGAGTATTTTGTTTTCTACAAAAGTGAACTAGCTGTGGCTACACACTACGGAAAAGTAGCAGTAAAGCACAATTTCTGTGCTGCACTACTTCCCAAAATGGATAGCTAGCATTCATAATAAACAAACATGGCTGCTTGATATACTAATATGATATTTTCTGATTTTCTAGTCATAATAATAAGTGGGTGAAAATTACTGCAAACAGCAAATGGCAGAAAGGAGTCATAAGCACAGAGCATGTTCACTTTGAATATGTCACTAATGGTCTATGGGGAAATCCTTACCACTCTGAGTGATGTCCAGTGGATTTAATAGACATAATAGAAGTGACACATGGGAGGAGATTTACTAAAACTGAGCACTAAGAATCTGGTGCAGCTCTGCCTGGTAGCCGATCAGTTTCTAACTTCAGCTTGTTCAGTTAATTTTGGATGACAATACCTGGAAACTGATTTCTAGGCAGAGTTGCACCAGATTTTGTACTCTCCAGTTTTAGTAAAAAAAACCCATGGCATCTGATAGCACCTGTAACTTGTTTATTAAGCAAAACATAGAAGTCAATTACTCCTATAAGGACCATGTCACACCAGCAATCCTGTCACTGGAGAAAACTTGTCTACTACGAGATCACTATGCAGAGTAGATAAAATACTTACCAGTTTCCATGCATTGCTCCATTGTTATTGCCTTGAAAATGCTGAAGGATTTCACTCAACAGCAAAAGCTCTCTCATAAACCAACGACATGGAAGTAGGTGAGCATTTTTTCTGCTCTGCATGTATTTATTTATTTCAGGTACTTATAGAGCACCGTCAATTTACGCAGAGCTTTACATATATATTGTACATTCACATCAGTCCCTAACCCTCAAGGGGCGTACAATCTAAGGTCCCTAGCTTACATTCATACATACACATACTAGGGCCAATTTACACAGGATCTAATTAACCTACCAGCATGTCTTTGGAGTGTGGAAGGAAACCGGAGTACCTGGAGGAAACCCATGCAGGCACAGGGACAACATGGAAACTCCAGGCAGGTGGTGCCGTGGCTGGGATTCCAACCAATGACCCTAGTGCTGCCAGGCGGAAGTGCTAACCATTTAGCCACTGTGCTGCATAGCAATACTCTTCTTGGTCAACTGTCGCCAGCAAGAAGATCACTAGTGTACTAGGACCCTTGAGCAAGGACTTAAAGAAGAAGCTGACTCTCTAAACCATGTTTGCAGCTGGAACTTGAAGCCTCCACAGCTGGCCACTAAGGGAGGTTTTTGCCCAGAATGATCGAGCCATATACCAATAGTCTCACGGGAGTCTGGCACTATCCAACAAACACAATGTCATGTTTTAGGGCTCTGTGTCAAATGTTAAATAGCTGCTGGAACCAAGGGTGGACTGACAACTCATGGGGCACCTGGGCAATAGGGGATCATGGGGCCCCTGTGTTCCTGCCCAAACTCAAAAAAGCCTATGAAAAAGGTACCAGGGGCATCTCATGGGGCCCCCTACTGACCCCGGGCCCTCAGGCAGTGCCCGAGTTTCCAAATGGTGAGTCCGCCCCTGGCTGGAACATATGGAGGCATGTCATCCCCACCATCTCTGCCTGGTGCATCTGTCCATCATTTATATCTACAAATGCCCTATTTCACCACTCCAAGTTCCATTTCAGGCAAGACTTAGTTACCTCGAACAACAAAGAAAAATGACATACAGACAAATATAAATGTATGCTTTGTTTTTCTTTCACATGCATTCATTTATAAAAAAAAAGAAAACATATAAAAAATTGATCAATTAGATGAATCAATAAATACTAAAAAAGATGTGTGAAGAATTAATATACTTACACACATTAGATTATGATGTCCGCTAAAATAAATGAATTCATAAAAAATATTAAATATTAAATCAACCTGGTTTGAATACAAATGTACACTGGAAAAAAAACAATTACAACTGACCCCAAATAAAGAATACTTTTCTGCTATGTATACTCATCTCTTAAAAATCACCTGAATTCGATGCTCTATCATTTCACAAAAAAGCCAGCACATTATTAGTTATATTTTAAAAAAGGACAATTTAAAAAGCAAATACTTTTTACAAATTTTAGATGAGTTCTAGGGACCACTAGATGTCCTCAGCACACCTGCAGAAATGCGGTACCCAACAATTAAAGCACGTTGTTACAAATAAACTACAATAAATGATATTACTTGTTGCTATGTTAAAGTGACTGTTATTATTTTTTAAGATGAAAAGAAGCAGTCTCTGCAAAGCAAACAATTAACGATGACCTGTCCCCATCTGTGCCACTGAATTCTGCTGGGTTGAAGAGAAAAACTACCTAAAAGACCTTCAGAAGCTGGCACACTTCTGGTTGTGTCAGATGTCTGGCCCCCGCAATGTGCACTGTGGACTCTTCCACCAGCCTCTACCTTACTACTGTGTTCTCTAATGGCATAGGGGTCAGAGGATGAAACCACAGAATGCAGAAGGGGAACCAGAGATCGGCACTCCCTAAAGTGTCAGTATCTGAAGCTGAAGCCATCGATTGTGAAGACACCAATGTATAGATCTCCATTTCCCCATTTAACCAATTTGGGGGTCAGACTTTCCAGATAGAAAATCCAGAAATGTTATTGGACTTACAAAGCCTTTTAAATCTCTTCCACAAAGGATTTTCTAAATGACTGTCTCCCAAGCCATAGGCAGCATAAGTTATACAACTAAATCACCGCGATTTTTAAAAATAATGATCCACTACTCATTCATAAAATTTCTCTTGTATTCCTTAAAGTGGAATTTTAGTCAGAAAATTAAGTCCTGCTAGATCACTTAACCTCCCTGGCGGTCAGATTATTTCAGATTTTTGGTGCTGAAAGCGGTACCATTATTTTGCATGGAAATATGTAGTTTTTTTATTGTAGGCTGTAATTTTTAGGAATAACTCACTGAAATCTGTCCGAACAAGAGTCTAGTAAACATCCCGGGTATGATAAAATTTGAAACACGAAATCATAAATTATAATTTAATAAATAATCATAAAAAATAATAATATAATAATAATACATTTAATTCAATAATATAATCAAACCAAAAACACTGAAATTTAAAATAGAGCGCCAAGTTCGCACATTGCTGAGCAAAGTCGCAAAATCATTTTCAGTGTCTGATGACGAATTTCCCCACGAATCATTATCACTCAATTCTGCAAGTGGTTCTGATTTACTATCGCTGTTCTCTAGCTGATCTAAACCCGCTTTTGACCTAAAGGGACACTTTTTGGACGCCATGGACTATTCTCAGTTTCCAGGCAGAAAGAACAGACAAAATGCAGGCAGGGCACAGGACAAAGCACTAGGGACACAATGTATGTGAAACGGTTGAAACAGCAATGTTTTGCTATGTAAAATTTGTTTGGGAAAAAATGACATTTTAAAAAATTTTCAAATTTCCCACCGCCGGCGGCGCCTGTATGTCCCGACGTCACAGGGACCGGAACACAGAAGCCGGATGCCGGCATCGGCCGGAGGAGATGGCCGGGGACGCTGCAGCGGACACATCGCGGAAGCGAAGGACAAGGTAAGCTCTGCAGGGACTCCCTATGCAGCGCCGCATGGTAAGCCCGAGTGTAGCTCGGGGTTACCGCTTTTGGTACTGAAACTTTACCCTGAGCTACACTCGGGAATACCACTAGGGAGGTTAAGGCTGGCCCATTTTGCATGGAAAACATTAGAAATAAGTGTCTATACTGTTTAAAATCCTTGAATACACTTTCTCACCCTGCTCTGCACATACTCAGTTGCTCTCTATTTTTAGGCACTGTGCTGAATTTGTAGAAGCCGATCTGCTGACAATGGAAAGATTTAATGCTGCTGAAGACTCTGGGCTTCAGCAAAATGGCAGCCTCCAGCAAGAAGAAACAGGAAAAATGCTGGAGGCTATTTACAGCACCCACTCATTTTTGTAACATAAGTATTAGGCCTCATGTGCACATGAACTCCCCTAGACGTTTAGCTCTTCTGGCAGCAAAACCATAAACGTGACAAAAACGCATGTAAACTCGGTGCCACGTTTACCTGCATTTAGCTCTTGGACGTTTATTCATTTGATTGGCCAGAGTGTTTTCAATTGACATGAATAAATGCCCAAGCAATAACTGCAGCTAGCATTAGACACATTTACACGTGTTTTTTGGCGTTTAGCGGTTTCTGGCCAAAACGTTCCTCTCCTGAATGCGATTCTTCTGCATTGAGAAGAGGAATGTTTAATTGCCCCTAAATTCTGCTGCTCCTTAACTCTGGCAAAAGCCTATGTGTACATTGACACAAAGGCTTTTACTGAGTTGAGTTCAGGGACTTTGGCAAAAAAAACGCCAAAAGCTCCTAAACTCATGTTTAGGAGCAGCAGTGTACATTAATGTGGAATATATCTTCCTTGCTAAAGAACATGATTTTTTTTATCAAGTTGTTATTGGTAAAGTTCCACTTTAAACTACATTCTAAAGCACAGGTGTCAAACTGGTGGCCCTTTAGATGTTGCCAAACTACAAGTCCCATGAGGCATTGCAAGATTGACAGTTACAAGCATGACTCCTAAAGGCAGAGGCATGATGGGACTTGTAGTTTCACAACAGCTGGAGGGCCAGCAGTTTGACACCCCTGTTCTAAAGCTTCTTATTGTGCATCTAACATACAGGAGTCCAAAAAAAAACCCTTTAAAAAGACAGTGACCTCACAAATTGGCTTAGATCCCTGGAGAGGCCACAGTGATCTGGTTTTGTGAAGGGTTGTTACACCCAGCTCTCCTGAGACTTGCCAGAACTACTCTCTTTTTTCCTAATGAGTGGGTTTTCATCTGTGTTTGGTTTTGTCCTCCCCCTGTGTCCCTCGGGGGAACTAATTGGCGATATAAGCCCTGGATAGTTTGAGGAAAGTGAGGTTGCCTATGAGTTTATGAATTTTTATTCATCTTTTTGGGGAGTTGGTGTGATCATTAGCAGGAAGGTCCAGGACCCTCCTGGAGATAAGAGAGTGGATGCTTGTTTTGTTGCATTCTTTTGAAAACACACCTGTGGCAATTATATGCAATTATCTGTAAATCTCCTGAAGGAGCCAAAAATTGGCAAAACACGTCGAGTGGGAATTGCTGCATTGTGAACTCTGAGCCACATGGAGTGCCTTGTTGGGTTTAAACCTTCACAACTACAAATGTGATGTAGATTTTTATATCATAACATTGCAATAAAATTTTGTATGATTTTAATACAACATCAAACCTTTAAGATTTTGGTGCACTTTAAAAATCCCTTTTTCTTTGCATTTATTTTACGGGATGTGGTGCCAACTGACCTCCAGCCTGCCTGTAACAATTTAGAAAAGATTGTTATGGGTAAAGTTCCCCTTTAAACTACATTCTAAAGGTTGTAATTGTGCATTTAACATACAATTATTTCCACAATGGGGAAAATGTTTATTTCCAGCAGTAGTGGTCCTTTGTAATAGAGGAGAGGTGAACGTTTTACTGTAAGTAAATAGCTGTTTAAGATGTTACCATTTCTCCCCCCCCCCCCCCTCCCCTACATCTGTGCCTGTAACTATCTGAAAGAGGGCCTGGAGTGGGGTCTTGGAGATGTTATACTGAAATCAAGAATTAGTTTGTAGATTCTTTTTCATTATGGTCCATTCTTGCTCATATCTAGCTTATCTTTCATCTTCCTATACTCCAAGTACCCAAAAAGAATGACATAAAGTGGCATGACATACAACGTCCTTATTACCTAATATAGAAAAGGAAGAACCATTCTCCAAACTCCTTACTAGTCTGACCAGTTTTATCTCTATCTTTACTGTCCACTACCCAATTCTTCCACTCCTTAAAGCGGACCTTCACCCAATACAAGAACTTTTTCCTCTTCTGGTACCTCCCCCCACCCTCTTACATAGTTGGAAAATGTTTCATTATCTGCCCATGCAATACTATAAGAATAATCTGGTTCATTCCCCTTTCACTAATGTTCTTTTAACAGTGAAACAATATCATTCATTTGCTTGTAATGACTTTGCTTTATTTGATTGTTATGCTCTGCAATTTAACAGGTGTACTGGGGCCATCTAGTGGCTTTTTGCTTTTACTAAAAAATTCTAATTCCCTCTTGCTTTGCCACTATTGAAACAATAAAGCCATACTTTTTACTTATACAAACATTTAACAAATAAAATGTTTCGAGAAAAAAAATAGTGAAACAGTGGAGCACCGAATTCATCTGATTTTAGGAGATTATACTCACACAACTATATATACTGTATATATACTATAGTATATATGGGTTAAATAATTATTGAACACGTAACCATTTTCTCAGTAAATATTATTGACAAATATTCACCACATATTGGTAACAACTCGTGCAATCCATACATACAAAGAAACCAAAACAAATAAGTTCAGAAATTAAGTTATGTGTAA